GAATAAATTACATCCAATTGAGTATATTTTCTGATAAACAACAATATAAGGAATCAAAACCGTAAACTTTTAACACATTATTTCTAATATATCATGAAAACAAAATCAAAAGGCGGAAAAAAAAAAAAAAACAGCGGAATTTGGTTCCGCAGACATCTCGCTGTTCATATCAAATTTCTTGCTGTAATTGACCAGATTACGTAAAATTGAAAATTTTAAATCATACTAGACACAATAAAGATTAAAAACCCTAATTATTGAACTCATTATGTTCAAAATATGCCTTGAAATAAATCAAATGGCGGAAAAAAAAAAAACCCAAAGTTCTTACCTGTTTTTGTGAACCGAAGCCTTCAATCTCCAAAAAACTATGTTTTTCTCAACGATTATCACAAATTAGTAAATAAAGGTTTTGATTCACAGCTTTAAGATCAAAATGCGTACAAATTTTGAAAGATTCATGCCCTATTTGGCATGAAATTTCAGAAAAGGCGGAAACCCAAAACACCGAATTTTTCGTGATCCAAAGACAACCAATTTTTCCACCATTTAATCCTTGAAAAAGCTGAATAAAGCTGTTTACAGCCTGCAAATCAGATCACATGCCAAATAAAACAAGAAAAATGATCAAAAAATGACAAATTTCAAATAATCCCGTGAAGAACACTGTGTGCAACCCGTGTTCTTCACGGACTCGCCGATTCCGCACAGTGAATCGCCGAGTCACTGTGCGGAATCGTCCGGTTCTGTCTAGAACCGGACAATTTCCGATTTTTAAACCGATCCGGTCCCTTTTCGCAAATTTCGAGTCGAACCGGGCGAGTCCGATTCGACTCGGCGTTTTTTAAAACGCTGCTTGTAAGTGATCTTTTGCCAAAAGAAAAGGGTGAAAAAAAAAAATATATGTATTCCCCGATAAAATATCACATAGGTTTTTCTTTCAACCACCTCTCCCATATGGTGATGCAAATAGGGCACAGATAATCTTTCATCTTTCATCTCATATATATAAAGTTAGGAGTTCGCACGAAATAGGAAACTTCATGTAGGTGCTACATATATCTCAAGAACCAAAAGATATATCTCATAGTTCTAATCTTTTTGGATATCTATTTTATTTATTAAACTTATCAATATCAATATCAATCCCACATACTATGTTGTTTTCCTAAGAGGGGTTTTTTTGGATATCACAAAATCCAACTCTCTCTCTCTCTACCAATCCTCTGCCCCTCCTAGATCTTAAATCTAATGGGCCGTTTGGATCTATAGAAAAAGATTACGTGAAAAAATATATTTCTTTTGAAATGCATTTTTTGAGAAAAGTCTTTCATATAAAATAGATTTCTGTTGTTTGGATTGTACATGAGTGTGCATAATATTTTCATTGGTTTTTTTTTTTTTAATTATTTTTTATGTTTTTTTTTAAATACGTTTGATTGTATTACTAATTATAATATCATTTTTCATTAAATTTGATATAGTTTCTCTCTTTAAAAATTTTGAGAGACTTTATCTCTAAAAATTTTCAAGTATATTCGCTAACGAAAATTTGATAAACGTGCTCTCTAAAATTTTAACATATTTTAGTCTAAAACTTAAAATTTGAGATATTTTCCCTCTCTAAAAATTTCAAGTACTTTATCTCTGTAAAATCTTAAAATACATTTACTTTTAAATTTAAAATATAAGATTGTTTCTCTATTTATCCAAAAAAAAAAAATAGTTCCTCTCTTTAAAAGTTTTGATATTGTTTCTCTCACTAAAAAAATTAGGTTGTTTCTCTCTCTATAATTTGATATAATTTATCTCTCTAAAAAATTTAGCTACTTCTCTCTCTAAAACTTAAAATCTGAGACGGTTTTTCTCTCTAAAAAATTAGAGAGTTTCTCTCTCTAAAGATTTTCAAGACTCTTTCTAAAACTTAAAGTTTGAGATAGTTTCTCTCTAAAAATTTTAAGATACTCTTTCTATCTAAAAAAAATGTGATATTTTCTCTCACTAAAAAATTTTAGATAGCTGCTCTCTCTAAAATTTTTAATTTGCAATAGTTTCTCTCTCTAAAATTTGATATAGTTTTTCTTTGTAAAATTTTAAGATACTTTCTTTATCTAAAACTTAAAATTTGATAAAGTTTCTCTCTCTAAAAATTTTGTAATGGCTTCTCGCTCTAAAAAGTTTCAAATAATTTCTCTCTCTATAACTTAAAATTTGAGATAGTTCTCTCTCTAAATTTTTTTAGATTGTTTTTTTTTTTCTCTAAAAGTTTTGAGGTAGTTTATCTCTCTAAGACTTAAAAATTTGGGATAGTTTTTCTCTTTAAAATTTTTGAGATAGTTTCTCGTTCTAAAACTAAAAAATTTGAGATAATTTCTCTCTCTAATAAATTTGAGATAATTTCTCACTAAAATCCTAAAATTTAAGATAGTCTCTCTATAAAAATTTTGAGATAGTTCTTCTCTCTAAAAATATTTAGCTACTTTATTTCTCTAAAACTTAAAAAAATTGGCATAGTTTCTCTCTAAGACTTAAAATTTGTATAGTTTCTCTCTCTAAAAAAATTTGAGATAGTTATTTCTCTAAAAAGTTTTAGGTACTTTCTCTTTATAAAACTAGAAATTTGATATAGTTTTTCTATCTAAGAATTTTCAACTACTTTCCCTTTATAAAACTTAAAATTTGAGATAGTTTCTCTCTCTCTATTTTGAGTTAGTTTCTCTTACTAAAACTTAAAATTTTGATGTTGCTTTCTCTCTAAAAATTTGAAATAGTTTCTCTCTCTAAATAATTTAGGTACTTTCTCTCTGTAAAACTTGAAATTTGAGATAGTTTCTCTCTTTAAAACTTTTTTAAGTACTTCTCTCTCTCAAATTTGATACAATTTCTCTTTCTAAAGCTTTTAGATATTCTCTCTCTCTAAAACTTAATTTGAAATAGTTCTTTTCCGTAAAAAAATTGAGATAATTTCTTTCACTAAATGCTTTTAGGAAGTTCCTCACTCTAAAATGAGATATAATTTTTTTCTAAAATTTTAAGATACACTCTCTCTCTAAAGCATAAAATGAGAGTTAGTTTCTCTCTCAAATTCGTGGGGGCGTTTTGGAGGAACTAATTGTATTTTTATAGTGGGCATCTCTGAAATAGGGAAATCTGGAAGTCAATTTTTAAGGGTAAAAGCAATGATACAGATTTCTCAAGTATTGATACGCACCCTAAAGATGAAGTGTTTGGTTAGCCGGCCCACTCATTGTAGATACAAGTATTGAAACGGACCCTAAAGGTGACGTGTTTGGTTATCCGGGCCACTCATTGTAGACACGGGCCTCCATCAAAATCCATTGAATTTTGGATCCGAAATTTTTAGATTTATTAATCTTAAAGATAATGATCATTACGAATGTAAAATATTTTCTTTAAGCATATATTTTGTGATATTAAAAGCAGTTTTTTGCGATATCCATCTACGAAAGATAAATAGTATGGTTGTATACACTCCCAATAAGAAGAAGGAAAAAATTTATATAAGATTGCAACCTTAAAATGTAGAATTAAATATACACTTCAAAAATTCATCGGAAAATATTGTTTTAATGTTAAAAAACCCTCTAATTGATCATCTCAACATCAAGATGTATGAATATGAGAAAAAAAAAAACAATATTTTAAATCTCATCAATAGCGCATCTTGCAACTCATTATCTCAACCGTCCATTTCAAGATTTCATATGTTTATAGATCTACTTGATTTTAAAAAAAAATTGAAGTTTAAAAGTTTAAAATTAGAGATAAAAATAGATTTTTAGATAATCCTAAGAATTTTTTACACCAAAATTACATGTTATGACAAAATTTAGAGATGCGCCTTAATTGGATTGTTTAAAGTTGTAGCTTTATAAAAACAAACCCGCCAGTAAATTTTATAAGTGGTTTGATAGGGCTACAGCCCTATCAAAAATAAATAAATCCTCATCTCAAAACTCATCGAAAATGATACTTCAAACGTTGAAGAAAGCCTTTACATTTATCATCTTGGCGTGAACATTATGGTTGCGGAAAAAACTTAAGATTTTAAGCTCTAAAAATAGTTTTTATTATAACAAATTATCTAGACCATCTATTTTACCCTTAAAACAAGTGTTCATAGATCTACAAGATTTGTACTATTTTTAGCTTCAAATATTATTTGGACAAGCTTTCTATGCTTCCCTTACAACATAAAACTTATATACTTCCCCCTATCCAACCGTTTATTTTGAATGGAGGGCTAAGATTGTCCCAATTGCAATATCACGTCTCTATACTATTTTATTTTTAATTTTTTTTTCTATAAACTATTTTGATACCAAATTTTAGATATTCAATCCTCTATTAAACTCGTACTAGCGAAAAATATTAAAAATAATTTTTTGATAAAATATAATAACCAAAATAACCATTAAAACTTTCAAAAATATTTTAATCATTTGAGGTTAGAAATTGATTTTAAATCCGTCATGAAGATTTTCATTACGGAAAGTGCTTTCTAGACAAAGATGGATTGAGGTGAGGTTTAATTTTATTTTCATAAAACCAAGGCCTGGAAACTTCATCCATGAGATTAAATAATTCATTTGGCTGTCTGGTCTCTTCCAGAACTGTTTTATCCTGAAGTTTCTGGATGAGAATTCCATCTAGAATTTTCGACACTCTACTCCCTCACTTTCCACCATTATAAATAGCCCTTCACCTCCCCCTTTCTCATCAAAAGAAATCAGTGAGAATAAGCAGTGGCGATCACAGTATCATCTGCATTACTCTTCGCTCACTTTGCAATTTCTTCATCCAAAACCAGTAAAAAAAATGTCTCTGATTCCAAGCATTTTTGGGCAAAGAAGCAATGTCTTTGACCCCTTCTCTCTTGACATTTGGGATCCCTTCCATGGCGTCCTCCCTTCGTCTTCCATGATCAGTCCCAATCATTCCACCTCTGCTCTCTTGAACACCAGGTTCGATTGGAAAGAGACCGATAATGCTCATGTTTTCAAGGCAGATCTCCCCGGTCTGAACAAAGAAGAGGTGAAAGTGGAGTTAGAAGATGGGAGAGTGTTGCAGATAAGTGGAGAGAGAAAAAGGGAGAACGAAGAGAAGAACGATAAGTGGCACATGATAGAGAGAAGCCAGGGGAAGTTTGTGAGGAGGTTCAGGCTCCCTGAAAATGCAAAGATTGATGGAGTGAAGGCGGCCATGGAGAATGGGGTTCTCACTGTTACTGTGCCCAAAATTGAAGCCCTAAATCCTGATGTCAAATCCATCGATATTGGAGGCTAAATTTCTGTGTTTTTCTTAATTTACAGAGTTTTTAAAAATAAATTTCATATGGATAACTAGGGTGCGTTTATATGTAGGCGTGTGCAGAGTTTGTGTGTGTTGTAATGGAGGTCAATGAGTGGATAATGAAGGATGATGTATGCTGTATTGATTCCCTTATTTTAATGGTGGAAACTTTGTAAGTATAAAAATCTGTGATGAATACCTTCCATTTCTTTTGCAATGTGATCAAAGGACACGGTCTCCATGAGACCATGTACAAAGGAGTCTCCTCTTAAAAATCTTCTATTTTTTAAGTGGATTTTTGGACTTAAAAGGACATGTAATCTCTAAAATCATGAAAAAATAAATAAATTTTAAAAATTAAAAAATAATAATTTTATTAAAAAAACATTTCAACTGTTAGTTTCAAGCTAGACTATGACCAAATGTAGAAATGCGGTCCTCGCCGCAGGAAACAATTTTGCGTGATCAAAATTCAGTCGTACTTTATCGGTTTTTCTTTCGCGCAAAATAGCGACAGTTGCGGGAGTCGATTAAATAGTTTTTGCCGGGAGTATTCGGGCCGTTATTTTGCCTGTGGAAGGCGACGTGGCCGTTCGAATATCTCTCTCTCTCTGCAATGGGCAGAAGCCACAGGTGAAGTGTTTAGTGAGCCGGCCCACCCACTGTAGATAAGGGGGCCTTCTTCAAATATTTTGAGATAGTGATTATTGTGAATGTAAAATATTTTCTTTAAAAAATAAAAATCATATGTTTAAATTATTTTTCTCCCACCAAACATTTTGGAATATAGTAGAACCAATTCTTTCTACATCCAAACTTCTAATGCATGGGGAGCTTCAAATATTTTGCTGAGTCAATCTGTACCCAAATTTAAAATATGATTTCTTATCAATTTTGTTTTTTAAAAAGTAAAGTGTTATATGCGCTGGAGAATGCATTTCTGCACTTGTGGGCCTCGAGGCATAAATCATCTATCCCAAAGATAGGTTCAAATAGTGGTCCCTCCAAAAACAAAAACAAAAAAAAATACAATCGTTCAAATATGCCCTTCAAAAAATTGTTATTCTTAAAATTTAAAATTTATTTATTTTATATATTAATGACATTTATGTGATTATACATTCTTTTAAAAATTAGGGCCAAAGCCCATTTAAAAAAGGATTTGGTTTGTATAAAGCTGAGGACCTAACCAATCAAAGTAGGATGCACCTTCCAAAATGCTTAAACATGTTTCAGTATCATAAATTTTTTTGATGACCTAAAATTTTATTTTCACATCTAATTATAAATTTTTAAAATTGAAAAATAATGTAGATCGAGTGGATCTATGAAGAGTTGAAAGTATTAGAATTGACGGTCTGGATAATGCATTACAACATGCACTATTTTTTAGAATTTAAATTTTTTTTTCTCATTTTCATATGTATTGAGGTCGAGACGATCAAATTGAGAGAATTGAGGGTTTTTTTAGCAACGAAGCAACCTTTTCTAGTGAGCTTTTGAGATATGCCTTTGATTGTTGGTTAAGGACCTCACCTTATATCAACTTTCACCTTCCAAAATAGATATTGAGAGGAACTGCATTTCAATATATGAGTGGGTATTCATAGAAACCGTATCCTTATGAAAAATATCCACTTCATAATACCTAAAGAGAAATCCAGCATGTGGTTTTGTAGCATTAGATAATCCATTGAATTTTTCCCTTTCGAATAATATAGAGACTTTTACTTGGAAAACAACAAGTATAGACCATTATAGTTTATGAGATTGTTTACAAAGAAATTATTTATATTTTGTACATGGAGATTACAATCATTTTCACTTAATAGATATCAAGTTGGATATCTTAAAAAAGTCATGAAGTCCGAAAACTACGAAATTGACACTTTTTTTTAACTCTTTCCATATGATAATGGCACGAGGAGAAAATGACAATTGCACATTCTATACTGAAATAACTCAAATTAGGAGAAAATGGTTTCTAATTACACACAAAAATAGTTAACCACAATTTTTTTATGAAGGCGTTGGGTGGTTTCATCCACATGTAAAGCTAAGGGATAAAGTTTGAAAAAGTTTATAAAGAGACCATTACTTTTGATACGATGAGGTAACATTCACGTCCATCGGATTTCAAATGGGTGGTTGTAGGCATGTCATTGACTAGATTTAAAGTTAAAAAATAAAATAAAAAATTTAAACTTTGTCACACACTCTACGCCATCTAATTTGACATACACTCTACGCCATCTAATTTGACATTGAATGGCTGAGAGCAGCG